TTCAAAATCATACCCGTCCAAGATCTCGAAGGATCTTCGCCACGCTCCGAACGCCAACCAGGGAATTTTCATCTGAGCCTCGCCCGGGTGTCCACTGGGCATGAGCAAAGTCGATCACCTTCACCGTGTATATCTTAGGGCCAATAGGCTCGTCCTCATCGTCCTCGCTCTCATCCCCAGGATGTTGATTTCCATTTGTCAATGTAGGAGGAGGCTTACTGGCCTCTTCGAGAGCCGCCCTCAGAGCGATGCCGTCGCCTTCAAACACGAAGAGCAGGCTCGCCGAGAACATTTGGCTTTCTTGCCCCTCTAGAATTTCTTGAATCCGTTCGACCTCTGTGAGAAATGCTTGCGCGACCAACTGTCCCAGTTCATCGTCGATACCAGCCGACTCTACAAAAATAAACTTTTGGAATGCTTCGTGAACGTTTTCCTTTTGAACGGAATAGCGGCCGTAATTCCTGTCGTATATCTTGAACCCTTCCCCGTCTATATCTTGTCCCTTCGCGCCGGGGCCGTGCCAGACCCGCATTCCCGCTATCCTGAACCCCAGATCTTTATGCGTAGTCTCTTCTGTAACCTTGTCAAATCTTATCTGCTTCTCCATTGGAGCATCGTCCGCCCATAATCGCACGCCCAGTTTAACATCTAATATGTTTGGCTTCACATATCCGTGTGCGGCGTTCTCGAGAACAACGGCCAAGTCCGTGACGATCTTCTTTGTCGTCTTGATCGGGACGACAACTTCCGGGACGGTATGTTTCGCCACAGGTACCTCGGTCTCCTGGAGATGTCCCGCGGTGTGCGTGGCAAGTAGGGCAGCACCTTGTTCCTCCAGGCTTGCGCTCTGCTGCTCATCAAGTATCAAAGTCCCCAGAAAGGTTGGCATGTACTCTGCGAACTCGGGGTGTGACGCCACGGATTCCTCATAGAAGGCAATCTCGGCGGGCGTGCATGGTTTGATGAAGAGCTCGCCGTCGATGTCGCACAGGGTACCGTCACTGTCGACTTATCAGTCATAGCCTCTTGGTAGTATTGGCCGCGGCGCAAACTCACTGCCCTGCTACGGCATGGTTGTACTCGACCAGGTCTGCGCGCGACGGCAGCGGTCTTGTCATTGTGGATCGCGAATTCGACAGATGCATGCGTGCTACAACTCGATCATGGTGAAAGGAATGTGCGCAGAAGAGAGACGAGGCTAAATACTGCGGCAGCGCTCGTGCAGAGACACGATGGTGGATTTGGGGCTTAGAGCAACCACGTCGTCGCTCACCACTTGGCTGCAGGTTAGTTCCCCAGGCGGTCAGTGGATGTGCAGGTTGGTTTGTTCGTGCTGGAAGCCGAAGACAAAGCTCATAGGCTTAAATGTTTAGCGCGAGGCTGAGAGGCTGTGGCACGCTAAACCGCATATGGCTATACAATCACGTGTTAGCACGCCTTACTAATTGGGCATTTCACACCCATTATACTGCTTCACCCCTCCATCTACTTACGACAGGTGCTGTATGCGTAGATACTGAGTGGAGAGGAGTCTCTTCGACTCGGACCAGCGATCATGAACTCTGCCAAGGGCATAGCTGCAGTTGTACGAATAGTGGCGAAGCCGAGATACTTGCAGCCCGCCCGAATTCGGCAGTGCGTTGAAACTCAGACATCAGTTTTTCATTCAAGCGGTTCACGCAATGCTGCCACGAGGCAACTCCATACCAACGGCAGGCGGAAGTCTGCTGCCGCTGGCAAAGCGGAGGCTTCGAATCCAGCAATGGTATTTCCCTGTCTGGATGCCATTGAATCGAAATCGGCGACTCTAGAGGCGCGGTCTCTCTCTAGCGGTCCGGAGCCTTCTTATACCAGTGGAGTCACGTTGAAGTACCGCTGTGAAGAACCTTTGCTGCTCGACTGGGGAGGAGTGTTATCAGAGTTTGACATCGCATATGAGACGTGGGGAGAAATCAACGCGGATAAATCAAATGCCATTCTCCTTCACACCGGCCTTTCTGCATCATCACATGCCCATTCTACGGTGAATAATACAAAACCAGGCTGGTGGGAGAAGTTTATTGGACCCGGAGGATGTCTAGATACTAATAAGTATCACATAATCTGCACCAACGTCGTTGGCGGTTGCTATGGGTCAACTGGACCAAGCAGCATTGATCCGGCAGATGGGAAGAGATACGCCACGAGGTTTCCAATTCTTACGATAGAGGATATGGTACGGGCACAGTTTCGACTCTTGGATGGTCTCGGAATCAAGAAGCTATATGCTAGTGTAGGATCCAGTATGGGTGGTATGCAATCTTTGGCAGCTGGTGTACTCTTCCCAGAGCGAGTTGGTCGAATTGTCAGTATCTCAGGTTGCGCCCGGAGTCACCCATACAGCATAGCAATGCGCCATACACAACGCCAGGTCTTGATGATGGATCCGAAATGGAACCGTGGCTTTTACTACGACAGTATTCCTCCTCATGCTGGAATGAAACTAGCACGAGAAATTGCAACAGTTACATATCGCTCCGGGCCTGAGTGGGAGCAAAGGTTTGGTCGACGACGTGCCGATCCGAGCAAGCAACCTGCTCTCTGTCCCGATTTCCTCATCGAAACCTACCTAGACCACGCAGGTGAAAAGTTTTGTTTAGAGTATGATGCCAATAGTCTACTCTATGTCAGCAAAGCAATGGATCTCTTTGATCTAGGCGCAGCCAATCAAGCAGCGACTGTCGAACGTCGAGCTGCACGGCGACAACTACTGAAATCCAAAGCTCGCGAGAGTCCAGGAGAAGCATCATGCAGCCTCACGCTTCCTGACTCGCCTTATAAGGAGCAGCCAGATGCCAATCCCCCTGCGGATTCCGATACCTCAATGACCCAGAGTTCTGGCCCACCTCAAGACTTGGTAAATGGATTGAAAGTTTTGGCTAGCCATCCAACGCTAGTGATGGGCGTTGCCAGCGATATCCTGTTCCCAGCATGGCAGCAAAGAGAGATTGCGGAGACGCTGAGAAAGGCCGGAAATGATACTGTAACACATGTTGAGCTTGGAGAAGATGTTAGTCTCTTTGGACATGATAGTTTCTTGTTAGATTTGGAGCACATTGGCGGGAATCTGAGGCGGTTTTTGGGGTGATGGACATTCCCGAAACCTAAAACGTTCAAGCCAGAGAGGTGGCTCAACAGAGATGAGCTGCGGCGCCATCTAGTGACATTTTCTCGCCGTCTAAGGTCTTGCCTGGGAATCAACCTAACGTGGGTAGAGATGTACGTGATCATTGACGTGATCTTAGGTGTTCTTTGTTCCGATTCAAAGGGTATCCTTGCCAAGGTGTTAGAACTAGAGGACTGAGGAACGTAAGAGGACCTAGGACCACAAACGTTCTGTACTAGAGGAATATTACATAAATACATCAAGACTATACAATTGATCTTGCGATCATGGGCCTCAATTAACTTTCTCTAACTTTGCGTCTAGCCCCTCTTTTTCCAAAATCAAATCTTCCAAGAGCTTTTTAAGTGCGTCACAGTTTTTTTTCCCTTCTGTTTAAAATACTTTTCGATCCAATATCTTATGTCTATAAACCCACTACCCAACGCTCCACGAGCACCAAATCTGGAAACAGGACCACCAAGAACGGTGATGCCGCTCTCAAATCAAGCGCTTCAATGATAGATTCGCGACAACCACTAGTGGCTGAGCATACCGATAGAGGCGGACATGATGAGTCGAGAATAGAAGGTGTGTATGAGGTCTAATCGCCTTGTAGAAGCGATATGACTAACGGCTGGGATACCCATTCCCAACATTGACAAGGACAACGACCTGTCCATTGTTAAAGAGGTTATATACACTGCGAGATAGACGAGCAACGCTTGCAGGTGTATAAGGAGGAGGGGAAGCCTTGGAAGCGGATCTTCCAGAAGTTCCCAACCAGAACTCCACCCGCAATCCGCACCCGCTGGAGTATGATCCAGCACCGAGTTGAATAGAACCGTTTAATGTCGGCAAGGAAGAGGGAAGAGTAGCGGGTGCAAGAGGTCTAAGCGGGTAACTAGCAAAATGAGAAAGCAAGGAACTCTCTTTGAAGCTCTTTTTCGCGATTAAGAAGCCTAAAAGTTCAACAATACCCCTTACTGCCAAGGTCATGAGTGGCCCTTCCAAGGCTTTCTCAAACGCATATCTTGAGTTCAAATTGCCTTGTATGTCAAAGCTTCTCAGTGTACCAATGGAAGCATGCGATGATGAGGGTTGATATGAAGAAGAGTGGATGCTTGTGGAAAGAGATCAACGCCGCTTTCTCTAACAGGTCTCCAGGGACGATCCAAGTACGATGTTCTACGCAGCTCAAGAGCTGTCTTACCCGCAGGTGATTCTTACCATGACAGTTACTTTCTATGCACTGAGCGGGTCTGCGACCGACATAACACTAGGGACCTTGCTGGATAGTGCAGAATACTAGCAACCAAAAAGCATACCGCAAAACTTAGAACCAATTTGCCATTGGGATGGTGCTGTTGAAGGACCATTGGCGGTCACTTGAAAACTGATAGTTGGGTAATCTAATTTGGTGGTAGTTAATCACGTTTATACGCTCCACAAATCGGGAGAGTACAAGATGAAAGGTCGGTTCGCAAACGGCCTCCGCTAGTAGGGATTACAGAAGATACGCTCGTCTAACTTGTTCGCTTAGCAAAATGCACAATAAGTATTATGCACACCTTTCCCCTATTTAGGTCCTACACTGTCTACACGCAGACACTTGAGAACAATCTCGGTGTATTATAAGAGTTATGATCAATTTGACCGTCAAATTACGATGTATTATTGGATCGCTTACCCCTACTAGCGGAGGCAGTTTGCGACAGACGAGGGATTACTAAGTATGAAATTTGTAAGCGATATTGACAAAGTAGTTAGCTCTTATGTGATATGAGTAGTTTGTTTAAGGCACTAAAAATTCACTTAGAATGTAAAGAACAGTTAAAAAAAAGTATAAAAAAAAATGTGCATCGACCGTGAATTGAACACGGACCTCCACATGACACTTATGGAAGTGTGGAATCCTAACCATTAGACCATCGAAGCTACTGTTAGAATGTAGTTTTTTATATTAATATATACGTAATGAAATCAGACAGATCACGTGCTGATCGGCAAATCCGTTCCATGTTCACTCCATCCTGGCATTCGACACCTTATTATTATTTTGAAGTATTTATATTTCTATCTTAGTCATTGTTAAAGTAGTCACGTATCAAATGATACGCAACGCTGCGGAATCTGTGGGACCGTACTGGTTCGCATATCCTTACCGCCTAGTATCCACCATACCTAATTAGACATCCCCCCTGGCAATATCCTTGACAATCGTATCCTCTGCGGCCCTATTCCAGTCTCTGCTACTTGGCAATACTTTCCCAAGTAAAATCCGTCTTGTTTCCAATCCAAAGGCATCATAAGTCTTGTGGAAGTTTTTTAGCACGTGTTGGCTTATAGATGGAATAGCGCTATCGATTGGAATAAAGCGTCTGTACATACGGCTTCCCAAACCATGCCGCAGGTCTCTTCAGCAACTCGCGCATTCTTTGTCTCGCGCTACATAAAATGAAGGAGTGCTGGTGGTCCACCTCGGTTGCCTATCGGTGTAAGTGTTGCTTCCATCAGGCAATTCTGTCTGTTCCTTGCAACGGATACACCAACACTTCATTGCAGTAGGTACGTTATCGATGGCTATGCTTTGCTGACGCGTATAGATCCCAACGTCAAAATACGTTATCGGCTGACTAGAGAAATTAAGTGAGATTGGGTTTGTCCATGTATATGACAGGTCCGTATCAGCCGGACGGACATGTCTGTTTTGCCCACGGCATTCCGGTCCCTGACATCTCAGTCGGCGAAGAATGTAACATCCTGGTCTTGAAACGGCCCATCGAGAATTGATCTCTGGCCTTGGTGGGAATTTGCAATGTTTGCACTCAAGGACGATCTCTCGACCATCAAATTTGCTATGCCAGAGATCCTGATGCCTCTCTTTGACATTCTTAAGGGATTTCTGCTGATAGATTAGTATCTCCTTGAAAAGATCATGCAATAGCTTGGGCTTATTTGGCTCTAATCCTGGTAGGATCCGGCTGAGTTCGTGACTAACGTCAGAAAAGCTGGAGATAGAGACGTTAGAAAATAAGATGTATTTCTGCCCCTCAAACCATTCTAGAACTGGATCTGGTAAATCAGGAGGCAGTCGCCAGCTGTCAGAATGGTCGCAGTTCTTCAAGGCATCCAGAGCTGGTGGGATCAGCTTCCGTAGTGTATTGTTACTGTGGGGGTATTTGGAGAAGAAAATGTCCCACGGAGACGTTAATTCTGATTGGCTGCTTGTATTCTCGTCTCTGCTAAGGATGGTCAACGGTGGCGCCTGTTGTTTGGTTTCAAGTCCTCGCGCCAAGAGTCTTAACTCATCAGTCTTAAAACGAGCAGGTACACAGCTGTACCATTTCTTTTCTGAGTAGTAGTCCTGTACCAAAGGAACACAGTTACGGACCATTCGGGCGGCAGCCATCATTACTTTATCTTGCCTGATTGCCACTTCGCTGTTCTTACGTTGGTAGAACATATTTTGCGGGTGACATGAAAGTAGAATTACTCGCCGGAAACGAAATTGGGCATCTGAATTTCGGCAATTCCTTTCATTGGCGAGCATAAGAATAACTCCTTCAAATTCCCCCCATAGAGGGAGAACCTCAAAGTCATTTGTTTGTATTAGGCGTTGCTGTACCTTCCGGCCCCAGATAATCTCGACTTTGGCTTTCTGAGTCTGCGATACTGTCTGTAAAGTTCTCGTGTCACTCTAGCACTTTCTCGTGATATTCTTCGATTGCCTCTGAGGTCTCCTCTCGCCTATGGATATGATCGAACAGCAAAGTGTTGCTAGGTTTAAAACCATTACCCATTACCATAGCCATACAACCATTTGAATAGTCTGCTGTTTCGCCGTTCTCAGTATGATCTGTAGTAAAGGAGGGTTGGTTGAGACGATTCGCAAGTAACGAATCTAACGATCCCGACGGTCTAACTAGAAGGGCTGGTGATACGTCTTTCTGAAGAGTAGATTTCCATACTGCCTGTTCCTGAGTCTGGAAGTTCCGAAACGAGACGTTCAAGTCTGTAATAGGACGATTAGGGAGCTCTACCAGAGACTTGTAAGCAATCCGACAAAACAAAGATAGAAGGCGTTTCAAACGATAACTTACCGTCCATATTCCGGTTATCGAGGTCTTTTAGGTCTTGCTCCAACTGTTCTGCACGTTCCTTAAGCTCAGGAGGTGGCCGAGGGAGTGTCAAGTTTCCTAAAACGAGATACTGATCTAAAGAATTTCGGTTAATTCCGCTTGAGGTTTGTAAGATTCCTTTAATTGCGCTATCCTCTATCTCCTCTTTGGAATCTTTATCCTCCCTTTTCCTTTTTAGTTGCCTAGTCGAGACTTTAATACTTTTCTCCTGAGGAAGTACAGTGGCCGGATGATGATTAGCTTTCTGGCTTAGTTGGCGAGCTTTAATATTAGAGGCAGATTAGTATAGTGTTAAATTTCGTTAACAGTGTGGCTATAATATACCTTGTTCTCCGTGGCTGCAAAAGGCTCGTAGATAGATACAATTTGCACAACGCCCAAGCTGCTCGCCTGGTAACCGTATGCATTTAGGGAATGGAGCGCGCTTATCTGACTCGCAGGAGCGACATGGAGCCTCCGCTAGCTCACCTCGTGTTTGGATAGCTACAGCAAGCGTAAAGAGTATTGATAGTAGGTCGACCTCTTCCCACCAAGTCGTCGAACGGAAATGTAACTTCCGACGCGGTAGATAACTCTCTAGTACAGGCTCTACCTTTTTACTTGAAGATTGGCGGAGAATTTTCTCGATATGGGCTAACTGCTTCTCGGGGTCATCTGGCAGTTGTTCCCATTTGGCGCGTGGCATGGTGGTAGAGGAAGTTTGTTGGCGTTTTGAAGAAAAGCGAGTTCTATCCCTTTAAGGAACACGACCGAGATCGGGCAAGGATAGTATTGGTATCACAGGGTGCGCGTGCAAAGGCTGGGGTCAAAAGACTGGTTGTGTTGAAAGATCTAGAAGAAAAGAAGAAGCTGGCTAAGGAGAGAGAGTATTTATACTAGTTATTCATATGCCCTTCCTCCTGTCCGTCGTTCACCCGTTGTTTCGATGGGCTTTATTCCTGAGGTTGGTTATGCAATATATTTATTTACAAGTCTAGAATAATCTTGTTCCGCGGTCCCTCCTCTCTTTCTTCTTTCACAATAATACGAGTCCAAATGGCATTAATAAGGGGCTTACCGATACAAGATTATGCACGCTATGCTGTCACATACCCTCTTCTTCAACTACATAGAGACCGACCACAGCTCTTTGAGAAAATTGTCGACTTGATCGCCAACTCTCTTGAAGATGACTATTGTCTCAGCTTAGATTCTTACCCAACGAGCCAACGCAAAGAAACTGCTCGTCAGAGAGAACAACGTAACACCATGATACAAGATTGGCAAGGAGATATTGAGCGACTAAGTGTGGACTGGCCAGTTAGGGAGACAGTGAAGCTCAGCACACTCAATTCTTTATTTTATGCGATATGGAACATTCATTGGCATCCGATATCTGCCTCAGCTACACAAACTGTTTCCGTGACGAAGATATCTGCCTTAGCTACACAAGCTTCTTCTGTGACGAATAGTGCACAGCTAGTAGGTGACAAGGGCAGCAGACAGGCGTTTGGGAATATTCAGCCAACAGTTATCTTGGAATATGTTCTTTCAAAGATTAGAGAACTACAAGCTGCTAGATATGGCAAACTCCTAGCTTCTCGAGACGACTGGGTTACGTTATTAAGTAGCTGTATACGCAAATCTGTTTGGCAATTATGCCAAAAGCCACATATCGCACGTCAAGAGTACGTTGTCCTATATACTATAAGTTACTCTAATTAGACAAAATACTAATTTTTAGGTCTAGCCTTATCAATATTGGAGGAGATCTCGATTGTCACGGACATGCTATCTATTTCCACATTATATGGCATCCTGATGACGGCAAAGAAGAATTCCTTTTATATGTTGGTCAGAGCATTGATCTTAAAGCCCGGCTAAAGGATCACATGAATCCGTTAAATAGAAACAAACACCCTAGCCTTCACTACCACGCTTGGGATTCACGCCCTGGGAATCTCTCAGAATTTGTTGTCATTGCCTATCTGGACAATATTAGAACAAAAAATTCTTCTATAGGCACCAAAGATGATCTACTGAAGATGAATATCATAGAACTTTGGGGGACACTTATATTTCAGACCTTGCCGAAACGAGAACTTGAAAAATGCATAAATCCAACAACAATTATTGGGAGACAACATCTCAATGTCTTTAACCCTTTATGGCAAGGTGTTTCCAACTTAGATGATGTGTTTCCTAATCTTTCTAGGAAAGAAAGGTTTACTGCATTACTACATGGAGCAGACGAGATGGAAAGGCCGAATTAATCCTAAGGCTACGAGCAACCATGCTAATTCAATAGTGAAGGTTGGCCCATCAGCTCCAGCCCACCTTATCCAGACCGAGACCCCCTGTAAGTGTAGCGCCCATAGCTGAACCAGGGCTTCTGCGCACGTGATCTTGAACATTTAATACCTTTGTCAGGTTTACAAGCAATGCAGCGCTAAACTTAATACGGCTACAACTATAATGTATTGGTAATATCCTCTATAGGTTATACTAGCAGAACAATGAACTGTAAAAGGGCATGTAAATAGGGCTGTAAAGGGTATATAAGTGCTTCAATTAATTAAGGATATAACCCTCTGGCTTAGGGGTTTATATACTTCTAGAGTTAGGCTTTAATCTACTGGATTAGGTATTAATTATATAAGCAAACTCTAACACTCCCCCTTACATTATAATCTAAAGCCTTAACCTTAAGCTCTATATTTCACTGATATCTAGGCCTTATTAACTCCTATAATAGCCTATAAGCTTATAGCTATAGCTATAGCCTGCTTATATCTCCCTTATAGGAAGTTCAGTAGC